TGTGCTTTGCAGTTTGTAGTTACTTTATTATTCGTTTATTAATTCTATCTAATCCTATCTAAAATCCGTCATCACAACATGTTTGATCCCCATAATTGCAATTTTTTTTTTAATCTTTTCTAAGTGCGCATTGTTACAGTTGGTTCCAGGTATGTGTACTTATAGAGGCTTTTCTGTATATAATATGTTGTAGGTTGAAATGGAATTGGATGGATTGGAAATTTCTTAATAAAATTATAATTTTAAGGAAGAATTTGTTTTATATAAGCCTATTTCCTAACTTTAATTCAAAATTCTAAGAATTCAAGATCAATTTATCTTCTGCTCTCACTATGGCATCGGATCCCAGGTTATTTGGATTATTAGAGAGAGATAACCCAGTTTGTGATCTGGTAATGACCTTGTAAAAGAGTGAGTGACCGGAACTCATATTTTGTGCCAGGGTTCAATCTCTAAAGCTACAATTATACAAACCAATTAATAATAAATATAAAATGGGTTGCGATAATTGGAAAATGGGTTAGACGCATTGCTATTATAAGTCGGGTTCAATAATAGAAAATCAAAAATGTTTTTTTTTCAAAAAAAATTAAATTGCTATCGCTATCAATATTTTCAATACTAACCTCTTGGTTATTTATTGATCCTAAAATTTTCAACCTCTGAAACAATTTCTCTCGTATCAATAAACTTAGAAGTATACATCATATTATCATGTTTTTGTGTGATAACGGGCAATTTTTTGTTTAACCCATCAGCTTCTAAAAATTGCTGTTTGATCTCTTTATCTGAATCGATATATTGTTCGTCTAATTTATCGTTACTATCATCTACAAGTTTTTTCCATCTTTTAAGTTTATTAAAAATCTTAACACTCTTAGATCTTTTTTTCATATATGATTTAACATTACTATCGTTGTTGACTATAATGTTTTTCCATGTCTCAAGTTTATTAATAATCTCAACAAGTGTAGGTCTTTTTTTCATATCTGAATTAATACATTGTTTGGCTAATTTAGCATAACACTTTGGTGTTCTTATAATAAAATCAGGTCGTAATCCATGACAAATCATCGCTGCTAATTCAGCATCAAAATTGTAACCATCGTAAGGCTTTCGTCCAGTTAATATTTCAATCATAATAATTCCAAAACTATAAATATCAGCAGCTTGAGTAAACTGTTCTCCTTTTAAGATCTCAGGTGATAAATATGGCAAAACACCATAAATATTGCCATCCTGATTTTCATCAATCGACATTGATGAACCTAAATCGATATAAGCATCATATCGTTCTTTTAGTAAAATATTACCAGAATGTAAGTTTCGATGTATAAAGTTTTTAGAATGAATATTTGATAGATCATTAGCAATATCGCATAATATTTTTAGTTTAATTTTCCACTCCAATTTAATTATATTTTTAAGATTTTCATTTAATGATCCAAATATTGCGTAATTTAATACTAAAATAAAATCACCAGTATTTTTATCCATTGATATGCCTTTATATTGACTAAATTCGTGATACGCCTTTAACTAAAAATAGACAAATTATATACAATTAATTCATTAACAATATAGATTTACGAGTAAAAAAAAAAATACCTCGTTTAAAAAAAGTTTTTTATTGTTATGTGAATCTTTTATTATCTTGATCGCAACTTCTTCATCCATTCCAAAGTACGTTTTATATGATGTCTTATACACTACAGAAAATCCGCCTTTACCTACTTCTTCAATGTTTCTAAAATCATTGTATTCGATCCAACGGAAATGATTATGACGTTGACATTCATGTCCAGCGGCAGTAGATTCCAAATACCATTCAATAGCCAAATCTTTATTTATATCAACACCTGTCCCTTTCTGATAACACCAACCTACATTATGCATCCCACAACAATATCCACATTCGGCACTTTTTAAATAATATTCAAAGGCCTTTTGTTCATCCTTTTCAATTCCAGTTCCATAAAAATAACAATTTCCAACATTATATGTACCGAAAGCGTTCCCCATCTCTGCAGATTTTTGATAATAAATAAATGCCATGTGTTTATCCTTTTTAACTCCAATTCCATTAAAATAACAATATCCAACATCATTTAATCCGATAGAGTTTCCCATCGCTGCTGATTTTTGATAATTAATGAATGCCTTATGTTCATCCTTTTCAATTCCAATTCCTTTTTGATAACAATATCCAACATGCCTTGTTCCGCAGGAGTTCCCTATCTCTGCAGATTTTTGACAATTAATAAATGCTTTATTATAATCCTTTTCAACCCATTTACCACGAAAATAACAAATTGCAAGAACGATTAGGACCATAGAATCAAATTGATTATCTAAGCAATATTTGATAATATTATCTGGATTTTGCTTTTTTTCTACTAGTAATTGTTCTAAAGTATTAAGAATTGATCCGTAACTTTTGCCTTTCTGCCTGTCTTCAATATACAAATTATACATATCTTTAATGATTTCATTAAGAAAATCCCGAGACTTATCTTCTAAACACAATTGATTAATTTCAGTAGATACTTTAGTAACTTCTAATGGATTGTCTATTTTTTTTGGTTGGCTTGCAATTGACATTTTGAATCAATAGAAGAATATTTTACGTATACGTATACTTATCAAATTTATTGAGGAGATGTACTGCATTGCACAACGCAATTACGTGAACGTGTATCACATACCGATACGCATTGTAACACCTTTTAACAGCTTGGTTACTGGTTAAAAATTCTATATAGATATATTAAAAATTAAGTTAACGTTAACACATTGTTATAGGACCTTGGAAAAACCGTCGTGAACTAACCAACGAACGTCACACGAACAACCGTTGTATCACGATGCCCGTGACCCAGAAAAACCGAATGACGATCCCCCCTGAGCAAGTTCGTTTGATCCAGGTTCCCACGAACCTAGCATGACCACCAAGATCAGTTACTATAGAGATGGGACATTGCGCAGGCATTTTTTGAGGCTGCGCGGTGCAATTTTCATAATTCTGGCCAGCTTCATAATCCGGGTTTAAATTACCAATCGGAAATCGGTTCGGATCGGCCCGAAAGAAAAACAAATCTGCATCTCATAGGCAGAAGTTTGTCTGATTGGCTAATAAATTCAATTTAATTTTACATTATTTATACAGTTTAGAGTACT